GTGTAATATATTTTTAAACTTTTAGTTTAAAAATTATAAAAACTAAACAGCCTACAATATTTTTACAGTATTTTACAGTTAAAATATATGTTTATTAAATAAAGTATAAAGTTAAAACTAATCATGGATCCCTTTAAGGATGAAAAAAAGGACAGGATAAAGGATACTTTTTTCAAATGTATAAAGTTGAGTTAAAATGAGTGACTTTTTACTTTAATTTAAAAAGAAAATAATAGAAAAAGTACTTGTAGCATCCCAGAGTCTATTTCTGCCATCATGTTTTATTTTGAAAGGGTTATTGAGTGGAAACTGTGATCCCAGGTGAGCTCAGCTTTACTGTCAGAGTCCACCTTCATGAAGATAAATAACCTTTAAGCTTCTTTAGTCTTGAACTTTAAGTAGTTAACAGTATATTGTTTCTGTTGTGTTTAATAAAACGTAACAATAAATAAAAATGTTTTGTATAATTTGTGTTTTAGTTGTGAGTCTGTGTTGTTTGTGTTGCAGCTGGAGAACCGCGGCCTCAGAGAGCTGCTGGGAATCAGCCGCGAGGCGTTCCTCATCCTGAAGAGAGACGACCCGTCTGAGAGCACGTCGCTGTCGCCGCTGCTGACCAGCGCCGACGTCAGCTTACGGAAGAGTTAAGCCCCTCCCCCTTCTCTTCGCTACTACAGCGTACAGAGCGGACAGTCTGCTGCCAAACTTTCCCCTTTTTCACCCCACAAACTCCTAAAGAGTCGCCTCACCTGGAGCTCCCTGCTTCTGTTTCGGAGACGTTTGTGTTGTGTGCATGAGCCCGCCACCCGCAGGCTTTTTACAGAGAGAATGAGTGAGGTTAAATAAATCTGCAGTCCTCACACTGAGTTTGTGCTTGTTTACTTTCTCAGGATATTCCAGTGGTTTTTTTTCCTGTGGGTTTTACACACAACTTCTCACTTTCACTACTCGCCTTATTGTTGTGAGCAGCTTTATAAAGGAACTGAGATCAGAACTAACACTCAGTCTGTGCCTAAAGCTCCCGATTTATTGTTTTGATGTAAGTAAAGTATTTTTGTCATCTTAAAGAACTCCTGTTTAAAAAAATACAATTTACAGTTAAAGTGAATGCTAGGTTATAAACATTATATAATGGTTATTATGGCAGGAAAAGAAGATTTTTTTCAGTAGGTGCATTAAAATTACTACAACTAGCTGCCATGTTATTTGTGCTCGCAAATAACCCTAAAATCGTGCATTAATAAGAAAAATGTAAAAATGGCATATGGAGTTTTGAGACTGCACCAATCCACTTTTGTCTTGGACTAACCATTAGCTTTTCAATCAGGCAAGAATTAAGCTTTTCTGTCCCTAAAATGCTTATCTACAACAGGTGAGATGTTACCTGTTCATATTGTTCGCCACATAATCCCACTTGAAGTACTTTTAACAGTTGGAAAATTGTTCATCTTTTATTTTTCTCCGTTTTGAATAACCAATGTGGACTTTACCATCTATGTCGCAACATTATGAAAATATAAATAAGTCAAAATCGAAATAAAAYACTGAGGAAAGCAATGCTGAAATCTCGCGAGACTTGACGAGATTTGACGGAGGCGTTGCTGCCGAGGAGCTGCATTCAGAGCCTGAGAGGAGCTGAAAGAAGCAAGGAGGCTTCTCGACAGTCGCAGCCGGTCCAGCATGTCGTTTTTCCTGCTCCTGGGACTAAAAACCACAGGCGGCTGCATGGTTTCCTCTGATTTTTAATGGCACTGAAGCGCCTCGTCGTCAAATGAAGCCCAGTGTAAACATGTTCAGCTGGATTTGGTTCCCGCCGCTGCTCGTGCTGGTTTTGGTTCAAGCTCAAGTAGAAAGTGAGTATGGAGACCAGAGCTGCTGACTGGTTTTTACTTCTTATTAGCTTTTATGAGTCTGTAAAACTGATAATAATGTTGTTAGCAGAACAGGTGAGTCAGGTTTGTAGCTGGTGAAACATAAACTTAAATATGGGTTTAATATTAAAACTAATTATGTTTTAATATCTTTGAGTGAACCTTAGAGTTTTAATCCAGTCTGACCTTCAACCATGAACACATAAAACTGTAGCTCACTGATTTGTCAGACATTAGAATATGATCAAACTCATTTTCACTCTTCTTTTCTATATTTCCTTAAAAAAAGAAAATTCCCATGTTGATGTATTGTCTAAATATTTGCACAGAATAAGTTCCTCTCAACACATCTCAGTCAGTTTACTGATTTTTAATAAGAGCGTAAGCTGTCTACGGCTGTCAAAACAGCTAAAAATAAAATCAAAACCATAAAATTTCAAGTGAAAACAACAAAATCACAATGAGAACCAGTAACTGTGAAAACCAGTTGAGTTGTGTTTTAGGATATTAGAGTGAAACTCTGCAGRTGGGGTTATTTTGTCCACAGACAGAATCAAACAGTCTGATATTTCTCTCCTCTCAATTTAGACAAAAGAGATGTTAAAACTTTTTTTCCTCAGCTTTAAAGCAAAAAAATTCACCTYGTGAATTCGACATTACGTCTGATAGTAGTGGCTCTTCTTCTCAGCACCTCACAGCAGAGGAGCCGGAGCGACTCTCATCGCTTCAGAACCGAGAGCGCCTGACCTCTTTGACCTCTTGGATGGACTCAAAGTGATGGAGACGGAACGGCCCTTTTTTTAGATTTTCGAGGAATCTTATTTAAGTGTTGATGCACGAGCAGGCAGGCAGCACACACTTTTTTCCTCTTTTCATCTTTTAAGRGTTTGAATCAATCAGGGATGAGTCACTGAGGGGAGTCCACTCCCACAGTGAGGTTAGAAGAGGAAGAAGGGGGTGATTTTTTTCCTGCGTGATAAGCTGCAAACTGTGAGGCCTTATGTAACCGACACGCAGCCGAAACTGAGGCTGTGAGAAACTTGTTGAACATTTTTTTGAGGTTATAATCTTATTGAACGTTATGGTAGCTTGTTCTGCTCAGACAGGTGGAAACTTCAAAGCTTTAAAATTATTAGTTAAACCCGGAAGTCATTTTTATTTAATCCAGAAACATTTCCACACGTTGAAACTGATTCATCGCGTTTGCACCAAACAAAAAATATATATATAATCAGCTCGTTTAATTTTCTGGGTTAGAGTCTTCAGATTTCTACGTGGGGTGAGTGGTAACAGACCGAAGTGCAAAAAAACAACCAAACAAACAAAAAATAAAAACGAGGACTCGTGAGAAAACTGTGCATATTTTTGTGTTTCTCTCAGACCGAGTGACTTTCCTGCCTGGCATGTTCCAGAACGTGAATATCACGCAGAACGAGACGGTCCAGGCCGTGGTGTCCAGGATCCCCCCGGCGGTGGCCTTTGTCACGCTGCAGTTCCACACGCAGCACCACAACGCCACGCTCTCCTACGACAGGGTGAGAGACCGCCGTTCCCTTCAGCGCAAGAAGTGGGAGAAAAATGTTTTGATCTGTAGAATAACACCCTTAATCTCCTAAGACTCCGTTGCAGGCATTTTTGTCCACATGTGGCTCCAGGGTCTTACGAGGTTAAATACGTCCAGGTAGACTTTGCCTTTATGTTAAACAGAATTCTCTAATCATGGATGTCTTTCATGATGAGGACAGAGTAAAAYGATGAATAAATAAACAAATAAATACTTAAATATATAAATTAATAAAATAAGGTTTGCAGGAACCTCTGTAAAATTTGGGAGTTGAGTCGTTTTCCAACAATCTGCTTCAGTCTCAGTCCTGCTCCGATTAGCATTTAGCTCATCTATCCACTTATTGTTAAACTATTTTTCCAAGCTGAGGTTCTTCCCAGAGCTTTCTACAACAGGTAAGATATGAAATGTTTATAAACCTTTGCACAGAACCCCATTACAAAATATCTAGACCAACTCAAAATGTGATGCTCATGTCTTCAAACAAGCTGCTTTAAAGTCAGCATTGACCATAAACTACATTTCCCATAATGCACGTGGCTTAGGGCTGGGCGATATGGCCTAAAATCAATATCACRATATATAGAYCAGTTCACCTCAGTAACGATAAATGCACAATAAAACTTATTACCACCCCCCACCACTTCAAGTACACGGTATAGTAYAGTCATAACTATGGTGGGGCRGCTGTGTGSTTAGGGGAGTCRTCCTRGAACCGGAAGGTCGCCGGTTCGATCCCCTGTCCAGCTGTCTCAGTTGTTGTGTCMYTGGGCAAGACACTTCACCCCTAATGCCTCTGATGTGTGTCYCATCAGTGTATGAATGTGATTGGCWCTGATTAGTCTCCATAGCCTAATAGAGTGCTGTSTGAATGGGTAAATGAGGACACAGATTGTAGTGTAAAGTGCTTTGAGTGTCCTGGATGGATAGAAAAGTGCTATATAAGTACAGTCCATTTACCATAACACTATACACTAGGGGTGTCCCGATACCAGATTTTTCAAGACTGAGTACAAGTACGAGTACTTCAGTTTGGGTACTCGCCGATACCG